CGTCCCATCTGTACGGCCCAGGTATGATGTACATGCTGGGATCGGTAGGCTCTACATCCGATGCAGAACCCGATGAAGATGATGAATCAACCATTACCCTCAACTATATCATATAAAACAACATTTAAATTAATCACATGTAATACCCCATTTTATTTACAAATTAATTAAGCAATGCCATAATTTATTATCAAAAAATTTAAGCATATGCGTCATTTATTTTTCTAGAATTGAAATTAATGAAATAATGTTAATACGTAATACAGTCATTTATTTGTAATTAAATAATAAAAAAACATTGGACAAAAATAATGTAATACTTACAGAATACTTAACCCTAGGTCACTAATAACTTCATAAATATGTACAAAATTATGAATAAACTCCCGCATTAATAACATCATACATACAAAATTTACGATCTCGCTATCACTATTTTCTAAATCACTAATTAATACGCTAAACCCTAATGCATAATTAAATATTAATAATAATAACTACATAACAAAAAAAGGGGAGTATCATTACAACATTCATAGCATGGCACAAAATTTTTAAGTGACTATCCTAATGTTCTAAGTCTCTAATATATGATCAATCCTAACATGTATTACTAACTAGCACTGTAATTTAAACGTATACATAGGAGGTATTACGACCTTACCTAAGTCGGCAGAGCTTCGCTACGAACCGTGGTTAGAGAGAGGTTAGAGAGAGGTGGATGAGTGAGGAGTGAAATGGGAAAAATGGGGTATTTATAGCATTGCACATGAGACGCCCCTTCATGTGACGCCCCATTGGGGCGTCTTCTCCTTCATGAGAGACGGCTCACTGGGGCGTCACAGTGTGCAATAGATCTGTAAATACTCCCCAAACTGTCATATTTGCGTAATTATTTAATTAAATTGCAATAAATAAATTTTTTTGCCCTTCTTGAGCTTATTGGCCCTTCTTAAAGAAGCGTTACTTCCTTTTCATTTTTCTGCAAGTTTTTATAAATTACATTAAGTATAATCGGTCATACTTTAATTAAGAGTGTATGATCGGTCATACTTAGTGTAGTTTATAAAAAAAATTATAAACGGATCCTTCTCCAAACTAATTATATCATATATGTGTTTCAATTATCTCATTTCTTATATTATTGGCTATTTGACTACTTTATTCTTTTTTTAATTTAAAAATTATCACTTTGCCCTATCCTAAAATTATATATCAATCTATTTATGTTTGACCATTGACCAAGCCATATACTCAAGTATATGACCTTATACTCGAGTAAATTAAATGTTACGAGTTTATACTGGAGTATATGATCCAGATGCTCCAGTATTTGTTGTTACACGCAATATACTCGAGTGTATAAGCATATACTTGAGTATATTGCGCAAAAATTATCTACGAGATTTTTCAACACTTAGCTCTCAAAAAATTATGTGAAATGAAAAAAAGCTCCTAAGTCAAAAGTTATGAGTATATAACTACAAAAACTTGTTTGATCCAAAAAATCTTGTGTAAAAATTTTTACCATAAATTTTTACTTTTCAACACTAGAAAATGAGTTTAAAAAATTTCCACGAGATTTTTTGATCAAACAAGTTTCTATAGTCATATACTCATAATATTAGACTTGACTTAGGTAACTTGAGAAGGAGCTTTATAGATATCACAAAACATATTTGGCATTACAAAATTTTGAAAATTTTAGAGTAAAACTTCAGATAGCTTTTGACTCAAGTGTCTGAATCAAGTGCTTTTTTTTATACCACACAACTTTTAGAGAGTTACGCGTTGAAAATTTTTCGTATAAACAAATCAAGAGAAAAGCCTAAAAATAAATTTTAAAAAAGTATATAATGTTTTTTATAAAAAATACTTTTCTCTATTTAAATCATAGAGTAAATATTCTTTTTGGTCATCAGCAAATTTCACGATACCCACTTTAGTCCCTAGCAAATAAAAAGGCTCATTATGGTCCTTAAGAAATTCAAAATGGACCCATTTAGTTAAAGTCGTGATCCCTCACAAATTCAAAAAAGATCTATATTAGTCCATCAAAATGACTAAAATGGGTTCATTTTGAATTTCTTAGGGACCACCATGAGTCTTTTTATTTACTTGGGACTAAAATGAGTATCGTAAAATTTGTTGAGAACCAAAAAGGATATTTACTCTAATACACTATTTGATTGGCCTAAAACACAAAGATGTTATAACTTTATCAAATCACTCTCGTTATGCATATCACAATCATGATAGGAAGTGAGCTTGTTATTATAATAAGTCCCACATGTAGTTGTGGATTTAATATTGAAGAATAATTATAAGAAAAATAAATAAAGTCAATTTTGGTGAAAAAGGAGTTAAAATGACAGTTAAGAGATACAAATGCGGGTAAACAAAGTTACCCAAAAAGTGAAAGTAAAGTTAGAAATATGACAAAAAAAATATTATAGTGCATTGAGTAAAATTAAGTAATAAATGAAGTTGACTAGAAAGATAAAATTTTAACCAGTTGAATTTCATTTAACCTATGTAAGTAAAAAAGTTTCAAGTAAGTCACTGTTCTTCGTCTTCCATGGATTGAGATCGACATAGGGAAAAATGGGAAAAAAAATAAATTTTGATTTAAAATCTTCTAAAATTCATAATTTGAGCTAGAGACCTCCAAATCACTTCGTTTCAAAGCCAAACTTGTGAGAAATTTCGAGAGGAACACATTGGTACTCATATTTTCGTGTGGGGTTCACTATAGAGAGAGTTCTTCCTCTTCTAAGATTTTAGATTTCATGGAAAATGGGAATTTTAATGAAGCTTGAGGCCATGGGAGCTTGAAGTAAGCTTTCCCCTTCATTCTAAGTGAGTATATGTTAAGAAATCCTAGTTGTCTTTGAGTTTTGAGAAAGATTGAATTTAGATTTTTATTTTGAAAATTTGGCTTGATTGATCATGTTAGAGCTTGATTGAGGCTTATCTCATGTTGAGAAAAATGTTTAAATGAGAATTTTAACGGTGAAAATGTATTTGAAAGAATTAAAGATACCGTATTTTTAAATAGTGTCGTATACATGAATAATGATGTATACGTGAATAGTACTACAGAGATGGACAATATCATACATATGAATTGATGATGGGTAATGATGTAAATGTGTTCATTGGTTATAGTGTGAAACCAAGTGGACTTGTAGAGCAAGAGCATGGACATTGAGCAAGGCTCTTGATTACCTGAGATTGAGGTAAGTATCAAACAATGATTTGATGTGAAACTTATATGAAATGGATATATGTTTAATTGTGATAAATTCATCATGGATAGGTGTGTTGGTCATTTGTTGAGCATTTTGTTGGCTTGTGGATCCTTTGACTTGGAAGGGGCTAGAAAAATAGCTATTATAGGTAAGCTTTCGGTCCTTGGGGTTAGTCCTCCGTTTGTTCCACCAGACTCCGAGGGAGGATGGTAGTTTGATATGATATGTTGAAAATAATTTGTTATATGTATGTATGTTTGCGTGCCACACAAGACAGTGTTTCCTTGTGTGAGGCATAAGACTGTGTTTCTTTATGCATAGTATGAGACAGTGTTTCCTCATACGGTATGTTGCAAGACAATGTTTCCTTGTGTAATGCATACTTGTTATATTCTCTGGCTAGTAGGATTACATTATTGCACACTGCATTGTCATACGTATTTTGATGCATGCATGGATTTTTATACTGTGTTTATACCAGAAGTGAGCTTAGGGGTGGAGGAGCCCTCCAAGGGTCCCTAACTTACTAGGTAATTATATTATCCCATCCCGCAATATGGGAATTACCATTTCAGGTACACGAGCTGATGGTGCTGAGGCATAGCGTGGCAAGAAGCCAGACGAGCTGATGATGCTGATAGGTATTTGGCATGGTTTTATTTTGGATATCTATCTATATGCCATGTCATTTTTTTGAGAGCATAGGAGATGTCTATGCCATGTTGATAGTTTATCTATTTTGTTAGTTATGTCTGTATATGTATATGTTACTTATTTGATTACATCTCTTTTGGTTGGTTGATGTAATCATGTAAAGTAACTCTATGGAAATTATTTTGAGACCTGTTATGATTATGAGATAGTCTATGCCATGGATGGCTATGTAATATGGTTTATGTCTAGATTATATTAAGGGAAAAATATTTATCCTTTTAAATGACACAACTTATATCATTTCACTCTCACAAAGAGGTGGGACCCACACCTTTATTTTTTTTGTCAACTCTCTCTCCTCCTTTATCTATCTCTTTCTCTCTTTTAACATGACACAACTTTACATCCTTTAAAATAACACACATTTTTCCCTTATATTAAACTGTCAATCTGGTTGAAATTATTATGATGGGAATTATCTCCAATGGTCCAAAATACAGACGAAATGATGTCCGTTTTATTTTGGCTATGAAAGTTAAAAAGTTTGTCATACACAAGGAAAAAGAGAAAATTTATTTAATAAGCTTCCGCATTAATTAAGTTGAGCATGTTATGCTTACTATCATATGAATATTAATTAACCGGCTCCAGACGTATTCTATTTTTATTAACACTCTTATTTTATCTGTTTTTATCATATTTTGTGCGGGTGGAAAAACCATAGGAATAAATAATCCCCACTATTTTACAATTATTATTAGTTAGAGTTTCCTCTCTATCAAGGGGAGCATCGCAGTGAGTCACACTGACCCACCAACAAACAAATCGATAGTCGGCAATGAGGAATCTCCCATTTGTGACCCACATGTGATGTGAGGAAAGTCTACATTTTCCATGAAAATTCTAACTAGTTGTTGTTAGATGACTGAAAGACTACGTGAATGAAAGCAGCTCTTGTTGAAAATTCAAACTACAGTTGTAGGACAACTCACATAGGGGCCAAGCACAAAGTTTTAAAGCTGTTCATTTTTTCTTTTTTCATTTTCAGTTATATTATCTGTCTTTCACAGATACCAAAACTCGATGCTGATAATTATGAATGCTGTTGTATGTTCTATATACATTTTTATCTTAAACTTGTATCTCTTACACCTACAACTAATTGTTGCCGCTGATAATTATTATGCTAGTTATGTTCCCTCAGAGAACATAGTTCTCAACTGTGGGTCTTACACATCTGAACTTGTACAATATGATGGCAGGAACTGGAATGGTGACATTGCTTCACCATATTTACCCTCTAAATTCAAGTCCCTTACAGCAAGAGCCCCTACCACTCTTCAATCTATTCCTGAAGTTCCCTATATGACTGTTAGGATCTTTCAGTCTCAATTCACTTACAGATTCAATGTAACCCCAGGTCCAAAATTCATTCGGCTTCACTTCTACCCTGCTTCGTACTTGGATCTCAATATCTCCAAAGCTTTCTTATCACTCAGTGCTGGTAACTTCACTCTTCTACATAACTTCAGTGTTTCACTCAATGCTGATTACTTCAACTTAGCATATTTCATGAAAGAATTCATTGTCCATGTAAGTGGAAGTACTTTAGAACTTACTTTCACCCCATCATCCAATGCTTCTGATGCATATGCATTTGTGAATGGGATTGAAGTTGTTTCAATGCCCCTTCATTTATACACTCGTGGTGATGATGCTCCTCTTCCTTTAGTTGGTCACTATCCTACACTGTTGTACCTTTATAATGATTCTGCCTTAGAAAACATGTATAGAATTAATGTAGGAGGTGAGCAAATTCCACCCAAATATGATACGGGAATGTTTCGAACTTGGGACAACGATGATGGTTACATTTTCGGGGCCAACATAGGAATTCAACCCACTAATATGAGCATGCCAGTTTTGTATGCAGATAATATTCCAGCATATACTGCCCCAGCTGATATCTACCGCACATCCCGTTCAATGGCTCCCTTTGATGATGGCCTTGTCAATTTAAACTTCAACGAAACGTGGTCTTTTTCTGTTGATTCTGGCTTCAATTACCTAGTTAGGCTGCACTTCTGTGAAATTGACCACGATATAACTAAAGTCAATGAGGTAGTTTTTGTTGTGTTTTTAAATAATCAAACAGCTGATGAAGGTTTTGATCCAATTGCCTTGAGTGGGGGACCTGGAGTTGCTGTTTACCAAGATTATGTGGTGACGATTCCCGAAGATAGTGAGGGGAAGCAGGATCTGTGGCTAGATCTACATCCAAACAAGAAATTCAAACCTATGTACTATAATGCTTTCTTGAATGGTGTGGAGATTTTTAAATTGAGCAGTGTTGATGAGAAGAATCTTGCAGGGCTTAACCCTTCTAAAAGGAAGTCTGGATCAGATGTAAAGGCTTCTAATGTTTCGCCTTTTAAAAGCTCAAAGAAATTCACATTCATTCTCATTGGATGTGGGCTTGCTGCAGTGGTTCTACCAATTCTCCTCTGCTTAGTTCTATGCAGGTTGAAGGTGATTAGGCCTAGAAGGATCAAGTCATGTTGTGATCTCTTTGTGCTTACTCCTAATCAAATTGAAAAGAAAAGCAAGTCATCGTTTTGCTGTCATTTTTCAGTTGAAGAGATAAAAATGGCAACAAATGACTTCGATGAGGCTCTACTTATAGGCACTGGTGGATTTGGCAGTGTTTACAAGGGTAGTTTTGATGGTGGGGCAACTTCTGTGGCTATAAAACGTGCCAATCCAATGTCAGAACAAGGTATTATAGAATTTGAGACAGAGATCCATTTGCTCTCGCAGCTGCGGCATAACAACCTGGTCTCCCTTTTGGGTTACTGCAATGAAGATGGGGAGATGATATTGGTCTATGACTTCATGGCCAAAGGAAGTCTTTATGATCATCTTCATTTGAGGCAGAGAGATCAACCCCCTTTGTCATGGATTCAACGTCTTGAGATATGCATTGGAGTTGCAAGAGGTTTGCACTATCTACACACTGGCACAAAGCACAGGATCATTCACCGTGACATCAAGACAGCCAACATCCTCTTAGACCACAATTGGGTTCCCAAAATTTCAGATTTTGGGTTGTCTAAGGCAAGCTACCCTTCCTTAAGCACCACCAACATCAAGGGCAGCATTGGTTACCTAGATCCAGAGTACTATCAATGCCACAAGTTGACTGAGAAATCTGATATATACTCATTTGGGGTGGTGTTATTGGAGGTGCTAAGTGCAAGGCCTGCTCTTAGTCCCGATGAAGATGATGAGCATGTAAACTTGGCTGAATGGGCAGTGTTTTGCTTTGAGAATGGCAATGTAGAGCAAATAGTGGACCCCAGCTTAGAAGGAAACATAGTTAAGGATTGCTTTGAGTTATATTTAGGTGTTGCAATGAAATGTTTGGCTGAAAGAGGGGTGGAGAGGCCATCCACTGGTGATGTGCTGCAGAACCTTCTTGTGGCAATGCAACTTCAGAAAAATGCTGGTAGTGCCCGAAATGGAAATGTACATGGGAATGATAATAATGGTTTGCAGGGCTGTTCAGATTTGACACCTGGGGTAGAGTTCTCTGATATCATGATGCCTGTTGGTCGGTGAATGTGATCTTTTGTAAACAAATTGCATTGATCGTTTCACATAATAAGACTTTTCAAAGTTCAAATTAGAGTAAACCCTTATTTTCCTTTTTAGTTTATAAATAAGCTCCACTTTAACTTTAACTTTGTTTAATGGGAAAGAACAAATCTCCTAGACTCCCCCCAACTTTACGAGGGTTAATTATACACTCCTTACCATTACATTTTTTGCAAAGATTTTTTTTAGGCTGATAGATCAAACGGAAAAAAAATTATAAACTATCAAATTAATAAGACAAAAAAAGAAACACATTTTCTTCTTTTTTGTGTTGGGAATTTTATAAATTAAACACTCAAGCATTTATTTCATGTAAGTGATCATTTTCATCACATAATTTGTTGGACCTGGTCATGTCATATACTCCAGTCCAGTCTCATGTATAAATTGACCTGTGGTAATTTCTCGTTCTTCTAAACTCTCATGCAAGGAAAAGATCTTCTCCAAATTACTAAGCACCTCCCCCATAGTTGGCCTTTCTGCACTCTTGTTAGCCAAGCACTGTATGCCAATGTCCACAAAAGCCATTAGATATTCTGGCTTAATCTTTCCATCTAGATGTTGATCAACTAATTGATCAATGGTTCCAGATTGGTAACAATGCAAGGCCCACTGGGCCAATCCAACTTTCTCACTTTCCTCTTCCACTGCAATAGGATTCACAGCTGGTCTTCCACACAACACTTCAAACAAAACCACCCCAAATGAAAAGACATCAGATTTTTCGGTCAGTTTTCTTCGCTTATAGTACTCAGGATCTAAATATCCAAAAGTACCTTTAACCTCAGTGCTAACATGGCTGTGGTAAATTGAAGGAACTATTCTAGATAACCCAAAATCTGCAATCTTGGGTACAAAATTATGATCCAATAATATGTTGGATGATTTGATATCACGGTGAATAACTGGGTGCCTTGTGCCCGTGTGGAGGTAATGTAGTCCTCTAGCTGCACCAACACAGATCTTTAGTCTTTGATTCCAAGGCAGTGGCTGTTTTTGTTTCTTGTATAAATGATCACAAAGAGAGCCCTGAGCCATGTATTCATAGACAAGTATAAGTTCATTTCCCTCTTGGCAGTAACCAAGCAGTGACACTAGATTCATGTGGCAAAAGGAGAAAAAATTGATCTCATTTTGAAACTCCTTAAATCCTTGACCAGAACTCGGTTTAGAGCGCTTTATTGCCACAGGAGTAACTCCACCATGCATGATGCCTTTGTACACTTTTCCAAAGCCTCCCTCCCCAATGACAAGAGCTTCACTGAATTTGTTGGTGGCTATGCTGATCTCTGCTAATGTGAATTGATGATAGCCATGACCTGAGGTCACTGTTACTTGAATATTTTCCTGACTTCTTCCAGTATGATTTAATGGGAGTACCCAAAAATTTCCCCTCTTCAGTTTTTTCCATGCTCTTCGTATAAGAATTAAACATGTAATGAAAAGTACCAAAATGATACCTGAAATAGCAGCAACAACAATGACGTGTGGAAGTTTCTTCTTCTTCTTCTCCTTTTGTTCCTTTTTCAGCTGGAAACTTGATGCAAGATTATAATTGCTATCACTTAACTTGATGATCTCAATGCCATTCAATATGGCATCAGCATATTTAGGATTTGATTCCAAGTTGGGGTGAAGTGCGATCCACATATCTTGCCTTGTCTCACTTTTCATAGGAACCATAACAACATAGTCTCTGTATAAAGGAGTAAACGGTGCACCAGCCAAAGCAACCAAGTCCATCCTCTCCTCTGCTGTTTGGTTGTTTATGAACACCTTGAACACCCTTTGGTTGAACCGCGTTACCTCTAAGGAGATCTCACAAAAATGAAGCCTAACAAGGTAATTGAATCCAGAATCAACAGGGAATGACCATGTTAAATTGTATCTCATGTTGTTGTCTCCATTGCTACCCATAGTCCTGGCAGTCCAATATAGTTCTTCTGGAGCTGAAAAATTATAATCATTTGAACTCATAGTGGTGTAATTCAAGTTAACGGGACGGCTCTTTATATTAAGAACACTTCCATATTGTAAACCAAATATGGAGCTCTTATCTTCCGACCATGTCCCAAATGAATTTCCAACATCAACAGTGTGATCATCACCACCAACTTGAACAAGGTAAAGCATCTCAAGAGCATATTCATCATTAATAAATAACGTTTCTTGATGCCCGAGGTAAGGAACACGAACCTTGGAACCTTGGAAGTATGTACTGGGGGGAACTGAGAAGATCTCAATGCCATTTACAAAGGCAAATGCATTGGAAATTAGAGGTGATGGACTGAAAGTAATGTTTAGTTTCTTTTCATTGACATTAACTAAGAAATGCTTAGTGATATACACTAAGTTGAGCTCTTCAGCAGCAACAGATGGACTAAAATTACTAACTAGAGTGTAAGGACCAGCTTTGACAGAAAAATAAGCATTGGAGGGGTTCATCATCAAATATGAAGTTGAGAGAAAGTAAAAGCGAATGAATTTAAGGCCAGGGGAAAATGGGAATGAGTAGGTCAATGGAGAATGAATTGTTCTTGCTGTTGAGTAAGGGACTTTTGGTGCTAGAGGGTGTGTGTTTGAGACCAAGAATGAAGTTGAACTCTTGTCATATGCTGGAGGCAAGAAACTAGATCCAATATCTCCTATCCAATTAACACCATTGAATTGTGATGCTCCTGAAGAACCACAATTGAGGAGGATTTTATCTGAAGGGACATTAATTGAATCACAAGTGGTTAAATTGAAGAAGAACAAGAACAAGAAGATGTGTGGTACAAAGCTAATGAAAAACCTGCATGACTCAATTATGTTGGTTTCCTTCATGGTGAGCTTGAATTGCAAAAGTGGTTAAGGTTGAACTGAGGAAAGTGGGGTAAAGGGCAAGGTTTAGCTCATCTATGGAATCATTTGTTATTTTTATAGCAAGTCTTTGGCATTTTGTGGTCTCAGTTTTTGTATTGAATGTTCTTCTGTCACTCTCAATATCTTATAGCTGGAGACAACCAATCTTGAAGAGTGATTCACAGTGGGGTAGCCACATCCAAACCAGCGAGTGCCTTGGCACTTGCTTATTTTTTTTTTTTACTTATTATATAATTAATTATAATTAACTAAGGTAAAAATTGTAATTTTACATCACCTAAATAAAAAATTAAATACTCAATACAAAATAACGCCAAATCATCTAAATGCAAATAAATAATAAGGAACATGTATAGTATGGTTATTTTTGTGTTTTATCTTTTATTTTTATTTTTTATACTGTATATTTTTTTCTGCTTTATTCTAATCAGTTATGTTATTTATTCTTACTACTATTATTTCAAAAAAGAAAGACTTCTAAATTTAATCACAAAAATAATTAGTTGACCTATTTCAAAATATGGGCCCAATTTATAATAGCCCTAACCTAATTAATTAGCAAATTACATGTAATTAAATAATTAAGCATGTTTTAGTGAGTAAAATTAAGTATAAGGCTTAATTAAATGAATCTGAGTCACTTTGAAGTTAAAAAGTATACTCAGTGAAAATTAAGGGGTATAAATGGGTACTGGCGGAAGTGCCCAAAGTATAAAAGTAAAATTATAAATATTCCTAGAATAATATTCCATACTTTTGGGTAAAGTTTGGTAATTATTGGAGTTAAATAGATAGACGAACTAATACCCACATGTTACCACTTAACTTATGTTAAGTGATAAAATGCAAAAAGAACCCAAACCCCCCCCCCCCAGAAACCCGTCGACAGAAACAGAGGGAAAGAAGAGAGGAAGAAGAGAGAAAGGAAGGAGAAGAGGGAGATAGAACCTAGGGGGAGCAAATCTCAACCGATTGGAGTGATTCAAAAGCCTAAACCACTCTAAATCTTCCCCTCTTTCATAATCCAAGCTTAGTTTTGAGTGGGGAGCATTGTGGAGAGGGATATTGGCTCTCAAAAATTCGGCCCTTTGGTGAAATTTGGGGTTTTGAGGGCTTCAACCTCCTTTGAAGCTTGAGGAGCCATCAATCCTTGGTTGTGCAACCATTGGTGGTAAGATTCTACCCCTTGAACCTCATGATTCCTTGAAATTGCATGAGTTAGGGTTTATGAATAGTGTTTTAGGGTTTTTGATGAAATGTTGTTAAATTAGCTATGTTCTAGGAAGAATGGAGCTTAGAGCATGTTGAGAAAAATGCTAGGAACGAAATTTAATCGGTGAAAATGAGCTTAGATAGCTAAATGAGTATAGTTGGAAAATGGCAAGAATATGACACTTAGATATTGGATTTCTTGCATTGTTAATGAATGGTTTGACTTGGTTGATTGATGATTGCGTCCTTGTGATGTCTAGGATTGAGACATTTGGACCAACCGTGAGTGATCAACCATTGGAGCAAGCTATGGAGCTTGATTAGCTCCATTGGATAGGTGAGTTCGTGCTTATGTTTGGTATGAATTGTATAGCTTGGTTGATAGCTATGAGATGTTATTGGATGCAATATGTGTTAATTGCTTTAAACCTTGTGTAGGTTTTGTTTGAGAAGTGGAGTATTGTAATTGACTGACTGTGGAACCTGTTGGTGGTGAACAAAGGTCGAATTGAAGCTTGAGGTAAGCCTTCGGACCTTGGGAGTAATTCCCTTGACTGTTCCACCAAGCCCTGAAAGGGTAGAGGTTGTGATTGTATATATAAATGCAATAAAATAGTGTAATGCTTTGTTATACGTATGTGTATGCATTTGGTGTGGCATAGGATGGTGTTTCCCTATGTTGGTATGTTGCATGACGATGCGTAAATCATACTTGGTAGTTAGCTGGCCAGTAGGACTATTTGCATCTGAGTTTCCTTAGGACAGCTTGAGAGCTCGAGGGATTTCTCCTGGAGATGTTATTGCACTTTGCATATATATGTATTTACTGCATTATTATTGTTATTGTTATTACACTGATATGGAACTGTGGGGTGGAGAGATGCTCCAAGGACCCCTGGTTTACTGGATATATTCGTATATCTCACCCCGTGTTGTGGGGACCCCCTTTCAGGTAAGGATGCTGCAGGAGCCACCAGTGGCAAGTGGCCATACTTGGACTAGTATTGATGCATGAGGATCCAGTATTTTGATATCATACATGTTGTTTTGTAGCTCACATGTATAGGATTGTAATTCATAGACAATTGATAGACATATGATTTGTATATTGGAATGGACTTAGCTTATGCTCATGCCTTTGGTCATCTCTTTTGTTGATGGGAGCCAAGGGAATGATCATAGTGTTTTGTAAGCTAAGTTCCATGATTTGTAATGGATATGTACTGTAAATGATGCCTACTTGGAATTCAATATATGCATGCTTGTTATGTATTGAGTTATTGAATTGGTTGGGCTGACAATCAATTAGGTACCTTTTGTTTAAACTGGGAAACGTTGCGAAAACAAAGGTTATGCTGCCCAAATTCTAGCTAACTCTCATGAGGAGAGGTTGGATGAGTACTAGGATTTAGTTTTGGGGTATGGGCAATTGGGGTTTGGAATGGGGATGCATCTTCCCCCTAGACTTGGACTTGAAAAATGAGGGTAATGGAATTCCCTGGCAGCGCGCTTTAGCGCCCTGCTGCCCCTGTGAGAGCCAATGCTCTCTGTCTCCTCGCGCTGGAGCGCCCAAAGTGGGGGCTGAAGCGCCCAGGATTGCGCGCTTGAGCGCCCAGGTTTGCGCTAAAGCGCCCTTCGCTGCAGAAAGATGGGATGCTTACTGTCTCCGCGAGTTTTAGCGCCCAGGGGTGCGCGCTTGAGCGCCCTGGTTCGCGCTTGAGCGCCCTTAGCCACTGAAGGAGGAGATGCTTTTGTCTCTGCGCGCTAAAACGTCCCAATGGGAGCTTAAGCGCCCAGGATATCGCGCTTGAGCGCCCGGTAGCGCACGGGGCCTGTGATCAACACTCTCTTGTATTGCTTCCAATTGTCATAACTTGGGCTACAGTGCTCCGATTTGAGCGCGGTTTGAAGCCACGGGTAGCTAATGAAGAGATCTACGATATAGTAGAAGTTTTAAAATAAATAAGAAGTAAATTAATGGTTTAAAAATGGAATAAAAACATGATGTTAAGCTGGATTTATCTGATTCCGCGAGTTAATATGGTTATGATCACGAAATTGGGTATTATAAATTCGGCATGTTTTAAAATGAAAAATTTATCTGGATTTTAATTGAACCCATGTGATTGTAACTGCGCTTAATATCATAATGCAATGTTAACAAACCGGTTCTAGAACGGGGCGTTACACAATTAAACCAAATAAACACATTTAAAAGTAGGGAAAAAAGTTTGTCCTTTTAAAGGACCCAAGTTTATATCCTTTTAGTTTTTGACATTATATCTTACCTGTAAAACATAGTTATAATATGAAAAATTACTTTTTTTTCTATTTCCTCAGTCACTTCAGCTGACGTGGAGAGAGAGAAAAAACTATTTTTTATGTTATAACTATGTCTTACTGGTAAGACATAGTGTTAAAAACTAAAAGGACACAATTTGTGTCCTTTAAAAGAACAAACAGTTAACCCTTGAAAGTAACAATCATAAAACCAAATAAATAACAGGACTATAATTATGGAATATGAATGTTCACTGAACTATTGTGTTTTGGGTTATTGCACACAAAGAATAGTCAAAAACCTAATTCCCAAATGTGAGAACTTTCCTTCGTGTATATAATTATATAAGTAATTATAATTGGGCTCTAGCTAAAATTGTAAGTTGGCCCTTGCTAAAATTGTAATAGTGGTAACATATGAAGATGGGAAAGGATATTGTGACAACCAAGTTGTGTTACTACTACCAAGTGACTACCAATCAATCTCACCGTTAGATCGATTATGTTGATCCAACGGTTATATTTATTTCCATCTTTGTATGGTCATGATTCCCTATATTTAAAGTGAAAGCATTAAATATGGGAAATCATAACCATACAAAGGTGAAAATAAATATAAAGTATTAAATTTGGGGAATCATGACCATACAAAGATGGAAATAAATATAACCGTTAGATCCACATAATCGATCTAACGGTGAGATTGATTGGTAGTCACTTGGTAGTAATACAACTTGGTTGTCACAATATCCTTCCCCTATGGAGATATGGAGCTACTTTCCGTGTATGACTAGATAACATATTTATTTCTTCTTAATTTCTTATTCTTCTTCTTTCATCTTTTTTCAATTGAGGTTTTCTTCTAACCTTTTTTTCTTATTCGCACTCACCAACCAGAATCCAGCCATTATGCGACAAGGCACGATGTTTCGTTCCTTTCTTCAAGATTTTACGGATACTTGTTCTTAGAATATGCATTGGTAATTATATTGTCTGATGACGAAAAAAATTGATTTATATTTTTGAACCTTAATAAAGTGATCTTTGTCTTTGCTGACCATAATTGTTTATTGGGTGTTTCTAACATAAGTGAAATTTACGCCCTCTTTATTTTATTAACAACTTTTTTTTTGCGGTTGTAGTTATTGATTTTGTTTATTTTGAAAAAATAGAGTGTTGTTTTACGTTTACCTTTTTTTAAAAAAATTGTTTTAATGTAGAGCTACAGTTGTTATTGGTAATGGAATTGAATTATTTATTGGTGTTATTTGTATTTTATTTCACAATAAAAATATGAATTTGTTATTAATTAGTGGAAACTGTTAAAGAGAAAATTCAATGGAGATATATGTATATATATGGAGTATGAAAATTTCTTATACATATCCATTAACAACTTCTTCTTTTTTTGTATTTTTAAAATTTTTAAAATATCTAAACACTAATTAAATGATTTATGTGGATCCAATGTCATTTAAATGATTTTAGATATTTGTCGCTGATTATTCCATGTTTCTTTTTAATTGTGAAGTTTGTTGTCCCTCTAAGTTAATGTTCTTCACTGATTACGGCTAGGGGTATAAATAGGCCAAGTTAAGCCAAACTTTGGCTTTGATAGCCTAAGCCTATGTAAAATATTCGATACCGATACTGACCTATTAGCCTATTAAATACTTGATTTATGTCCTGTAATATGATAAAAAACTAAAAAAACCGAATACGACTTGTAAGGCCTACCAAGTTGCAAACTAAAGTTTCTAGCCCAAATCAAATTAAAATATAAAAAATAAAAAAATTTATTCACAAAGACCACATGAAATCAATTTTCATTAACATCACATGAAATAAGCTTTCATTAACATCAATGAAATAATGTTATCAAAGATCACATGAAAATGTTCATAAAAATCACATGAAAATTTCATATATGTATATATAATTTGCACTTTCTTTACTAATTTTATGTTATATTCTAAATTTTAAATAAATAACTATTATATGTTAAAATAACATCGATCCTATTACTTTGAAAATTTTAAATAAACTTTTTCCCTAATAGATTTGTGTAATTATGAATTTTTTTATAATTTCATATGTCAAATTTTTTGGCACCGGCTAAAATTAAATCTTGACTCCACCACTGAGTTAAATTTTGGTAATTATGACATTGTCAACAAAAGACTAGACTTAAATTATAAATTGATTTCAATCTGAAATTTACTATCACAAGTGCACGATTTTTATGTGAGGTTGCTCTCTCAAAAAATTTAAATATATGATTGAAATTACTTTTTTTTTTTGGTAAAGAAAAGAAGGACTAAGCCCCCCAACACAAAAGAAAAAGAACGGAAGAAAACTACGAAATACAAACAAAGACACGAGATCTTCCCACACCAGCCATATCAGCATTAAGAAGCGGGATTAGACCAGGAGGAGGCTCCCCCCACACCAGACGATCTTCATGATTACCATGGTCAATAATAAAATTTGCTAACCAATCTGCACAAGAATTTGCTTCCCTTAAAGTGTGCTGAACAATAACATACCAACTTTTTCCCAACCAAGTCTGTATGCGAGAAATCAACTGATTTTCACGGACTGCTACACCACTTCTGGTGAGCACAGTGACCACACTAGATGAATCACTTTCAATCACAACCTTGCGGAACCCAGCATTCCACGCCATTTCTAGACCCCGCAGAACTCCCCACATTTCATTCTTAAAAGAAGAACATGTACCCAATTTAAAAGCAAATCCACCCAACCAAATACCTTGAGTATTATGTATAACTCCCCCACAAGAAGCAAGACCAGGATTTCCACGCGCAGCACCATCTGTATTCACCTTAATAAAATCTGAAATAGGGAATTGCCAAGCAATATTAATAACCATGGTTCTCCTCTCATCAAAATTATTTCTCATTTGATTAAACGACTCTATCACATCTTTAAAAAGATACTGAATCAGATGAATTTTCACACTGATTGAAAGTGCATTAGCCCCATAAGTAACATCATTTCTCCAGAGCCAAATTCTCCAACGCGAAATGAAAAATAAAGTTATCCCATCCTTTCCAAATCTGCTATAATTCTGACTTGAAAAGTTGAATAGCAGCCACTGGTCCAAATTGCCAGAGAAGAATTCATCATGCTGAGAGCTGGGAACAAAAAAAGACCACACGGGTTTCACTTCTT